TAGTAACTTATAAGGGAGTTACCATAAGACTGTCGGCTGATTTTTCAACAGAAACTTTGCAGGCCAAAAGAGATTGGCACAAAATGTTCAATGTGATGAAAAGCAAAGACCTACAACTAAGATTACCCAGCAAAGCTATCATTTAGAATTGAAGGAGAGATAGAGAACTTCTCAGACCAGAAAAAGCTAAAGGAGTTCATCACCACCAAACCAACGTTACAAGAAATGTTAGAGGGACTTCTTTAAGATGAAAAAAAAAAGATCAAAATTGTGAATAATAAATGGCAATAGCTACATATCTATCAACAATTACTTTCAATGTAAATGGATTAAATGTTCCACTCAAAAGACATAGGAGGGTTGAATGGATAAGAAAACAAGACCCTTACATATGCTGCCTACAAGAGACTCACTTCAGACCGAAAGACACACACAGACTGAAAGTAAAGGGATGGGAAAAGATATTTCATAAAAATAGAAATAAAATAAATAAATAAATAAAAAGTTGGGGTAACAATACTCATACCAGACAAAACAGACTTTAAAACAAAAGCTATAACAAGAGGCAAAGAAGGACCCAGTAATCCCACTTCGGGTATTTATCTGAAGAAACCCAAACACTACCTTGAGGGGACTCATACATCCATATGTTCATTGCAGCATTGTTTACAATGGTCAAGATGTGGAGGCAGCTTGGGTGTTCATCGATGGATGAATTGATAAAGAGGAGGTGGTACATATATACAAGGGAATATTGCTCGACCAGGGAAGGGAATGGTTTCTTGCCACCTGTGGCAGCATGCATGGACCTGGAAGATATTGTGCTGAGTAAAATATGTCAGACAGGGAAAGACAGATGCAACGTGATTTCACTTATATGTGGAATCTAAAGAATAAAGTAAACAAAACAGAAGCAAACTCATAGATACAGAAAACATTTTGATGGTTGCCAGATAGGAGGGGGTTTGGGAGTAATTGAAAAAGGGGAAAGGATTAAGAAGTACAAATTTGTTGTTACAAAGTAGTCATGGGGGTGGAGGGTATAGCGTGAGGAATATAGTCAATAATATTGTAATAACTATGTGTGGTGCAGATGGGCACTAGATTTGTTGGGGTGATAGATGGGAGGGAGTTGGGGGACAGGGTGAAAAGATGAAGGGATTAAGAAGTACAAACTGATAGTTAGAAAATAGTCATGAGGATGTAAAGTAAAGCACAGAGTCAATAATATGGTAATAACTATGTATAGTGTCAGGTAGGTACTAGATTAGTCAGGGGGACCACTTCCTAAATTACATAAATGTGTAACCACTATGCTATACACCTGAAATTAATATAAAATAATATTGAATGCCAACTGTAACTGAAAATTTTTTAAAGGGGGGAAAAGGTGAAGGGAAGTAAGAAGTCCAAATTTCCAGGTATAAAACAAATAAGTCATGAGGATGTAATGTACAGCATAGGGAATATAGTCAATTATATTGTGAGAGCCTGGCATGGTGTTACATGGTTGCTGGACTTACAATGGTCACTTCTTTAGGTATATAAATGTTGAGTAACTATGGTGTACACCTGAAATTAATATAATATTGTATGTTAGCTATATTTTAATAAAAATCTTTTTTAAAACGTCTACATACTGTATGATTCCATTTTATGACATTCTGGAAAAGGAAAAACTAGGAACAGAAATCAGATTAGTGGTTGTCTGAGGTTGGGTGTGGATAAAGGGATTAGCTACTAGGGGTACAAAGAACATTTTAGGGTGATGGAAATGTTCTGTATTTTTATTATGTTGGTAACATGAATGTACATGTTTGTCAAATTCATAGGACTGAACACCTCTGAAGAGTGCATTTTACTCTGTAGAAATTATACTTCAATGAACTGATTTAAAAAAGCATCCAAAACATGAAAGGAAACCTCTTTTTAGTGATGTTTAAAATTATGTCATATTCAATCTAGTACTTTTAAACATGTCACTAATTATAACAATAAATGTTTAGAAGTATTTTTTTGAGGTTTTGCTTATCTTATAGTAAAAGCCACACTCTCTTGGGGAAATAGATGAAACAGTACACAGAAACCAATGAGGTGACAAACTAAAATGGATGCCCGTGTTGCCAAATTCTATTGACAAACCCCTGAGAGGCATTGCTGAAGATTTGAAGAAACTAGTATTAGACCAGTTTATATAGTGATGGACATTTGCTATTTAGTTTGAAAATGAAAGAGCAGCAGCTCTTTCTAACATGTTTTGGCTCGTGGTGCTTTATAGATTCTATTTCAATCGTGAAATACATGAAAAACTTGCCTTTTTAAGGGAGCGTTAAAAGTAAAATGTATGGGAGAAGCTATACTCACCACTGAAATGGTCTTTAATAAAAAAATGCCTTATGGAAAATGGTGGAGGTGTGTCCACTGAGGAAACAACTGTTTTCACTCAGACTTAGAGTCTGGGGCTAGAGAGACCACCACACACATAATGTATTCACTAAATAATCTCTATGCAAGACTTTCCCACAAGGAAATTGAAGCAGAAATGTACAAGATGTACCCATGTTGTTAGTTTTAGAAATATGAGTCATTTAAAATGTAACTGAGTCGTTGGAACAAATGAAAATGGAAGGCACATGAAATTCTGCTGTCCCATGATTCTGGTTAGCATGTGGTAAAGCTCTTAAAGAGTTATTCAACTTTAAGGTAAGTGTTCCAATTTTATTTTTCTTTGATGACAAAGTGCTGTCAATAGTATGCTACCAGGGGTGGCCGGGTGGCTCAGTTGCTTAAAGCTTGTGCTCTGAGCATCAGGGTTGTCTGTTTGAGTCTCACATGAGCCAGTGAGCTGCGCCCTCCACAACTAGATTGAAGGACAACTTGACTTGGAGCTGATGGGTCCTGTGTTTCTTCTCTGAAAAAACACATTGTTCCCCAATAAAGTTTGAAAAAAAATAGTATGCTACCAGCAGATTAAAAAAATAAACACATACTCAATATGTCTTTTTAAGTAAAGACTTTTTTTTAAAGATTTTATTGGGGAATTGGGGGAAGGGGAACAGATAAGTTGCTGTCCTTTTGTTCTTCAGTCTAGTTGTGGAGGACGTTGCTTCACTGGCCCATGTTGGTATTATCATTGCGTTCTTCCCGGGTGAGGCAGATGGGTCGTCGGCCTCTGGACGGCTGCTCACGGCGGCTCTTGGCAGCTCACAGCTGGCTGCCGGCCACTCATTGTAGCTTAAGGCAGCCCACTGCAGCAGAGGCTGCAGCCTTACGCTGTCGCCGGCGACTCATGGCAGCCCAGGTTGAGCTGTTGTTCACCATCTTAGCTGTAGAGGGCAGTGTCACTGGCCCTCATGTGGGATTCGAACTAGGGCCCTGCTGTTCAGAGCTGGCGTTCCAAGACAGCTCCCAACCAACGCGCCACTCGCCAGCCCAAGAGACTTTTTTTTAAGCTGAGCCATCCTGCCACCTGTTGGCAGCTCAGCCGCAGCTCAGCTCGGACCAGGCATTGAACTGCTGATGCTCAGAGCTCGCACTCTTGAGCGAGCTCTTAACCAACTGAGCCACTTGGCTGGCCCTTTTAAGTAGAGACTTTTTAAAAAGAAATTTATGCATCAAAGAAGGCATTTTAAAAACTAAATATTTGGAAATTTTTCTATTGTTATGTGATTTTTGCTGCTCCAAATAATGGAAATATGCCATTTATTAAAATATATCTGAACACTTAAAACACTTGGAAATAAACAATTTCTAAACTGTTAAAAAACATTCTCAAATAAATGTTTTCAGGATCTTGAACCCATTTGTTAAAAAGAATAACTATTTCACATTAGATTTTGCTAACCAAATTTCAACAAAACTTTGGCACATTTGGTAGATAAGATAGAAAAATGAGAATCATAATTTAGTTAATAGAATCGATGATGAACTTCTACTTGGACCTTTGAAATTTTGCATAACATCTTTTTCTGCTACATTAGCCATGAAAACTAGGTTCTACATAAGCTGAGCATAAGATCAGAGGATGACATTATGCTATCACCAAGGGTTAAACAATGATTGTAATAAAATTAAGATCACTGCTCTCAGAAACTATAATATTATCAATAATACCTCGTGCTATAAATAGGTTTTTGTAGGTTAATAAATGAAATTATTTTATAAATATTATTAATTTGCTGTTTATCATTTTAAAATGTCTTTGTGTGTATGCTTTATAATGATAGACTATGCTAGCACAGGAGTACATGTATAAAGTTTGTTAATAAGCATACATACACTGGGTATGTATGATCAAAATTTTTACCAATAGGGTACAAAATTTAAGAAAATGGATTGGAAACAGCTGTGCAGTAGAATTAATAAATAATTATAAAGACTGTTGTCCAACAGCGTCTGGCAAAATATTGCCTACACAGTATTGAAAACTGGATTGATTCTCACTGACCACCTCTGAATACAAAAGGTGGCGATTGTTTTGTGTGTCTGTATATTTCTCCCTCAAAACTTGCATTTCATGTGGTGAAGAATTCTCCTGCATGAATGTATGTGTAGCTAATCATGATCATAGAACCGATAGTGCATAGTGGTGGCAGTTTCTGAATTTAGACCACCTCTATCTACATGTGGTCCCCATAATTTATTAGCTATGCGAACTTGAATAGAGTAACATCTTCTCTGTGTCTCAGTTTCCTTGTAGGACAAATTGGGAATACAACAGCACCTACCTCATAGCTTCGTAGTGAAGACAAAATGAGTAAATCTGTGTAATGTGTGTGAGAATGCATGTGTGTGAGTGTAAATCCATGCTTGGGACCATGACCTTGTGTCTAGGCGCGCACGCGAGCACACACACACACACACACACACACACACACACACAATCTGGGTGACTATGCTGGGCATGTTTATATTTCATGTAATTTTATTTATCTTTCTGGCTCTCAATATGTATTTACATTGAATAAAAACAATAATATTAACAATATCAATAGCCAACACTTATTGAGCATGAATTCTAGGCATTCGTTTAAGCACTTTACACAGGTTATCTGGTTCATCTTTGGCAAAAACATATGACATAACAACATAACATACTTTTGACATTCCCATTTTACAGATAGTAACTGAGGTCCAGAAAGGCTAAGTAGCTTCCTTAAATTCACACAGCTAGCATGTGATACAGCCAGAAAGTCTGGCTTTCTCAATCACTGCTTACCACGTGCCCATTGATTCAATAGTATTATTTAATAGTCCTCCTAATATTCTGTTTGTTTGGTGTATGCTTTCACATACAGTGAGTCTCATAACCAGCCTGTGAAGTGAGTAGAGCAGCAGTGTTGTCCTCACTTTTATAGGAGGACAAACTGGTACAATGGAATCCATATGTGTTTTTAGGTGGAAGTGTTTCTGTTTACAAATATCCTGGGTGCCTGTATACACAGGAAGTCATTTACCATAAATATAATGAGTGCTTACAATGTGTCAAACTCAGACATCGGTGCTGAGGATATGAGCTACCAACCTCCCCTGGCAGGGTAACAGTCTAGTGGGACACACAAGTGTGGAAGCCAAGAATCAAGGCACACAATAGAGTCTCTAAGGGAGATATGAAAAGAGGGCTTACAGAGCACAGAAGGAGGGACCATCTGTGCCAGGGAGGTCTTAGAAAAGGCAAAGGTGGCAGCAGGGGCAGGGAGGCTTTCCTGGAAAAGAAACTGCATGTGTGTGAGTGTGAATTCATGCTTGTGACCATGACTGCGTGTCTAGGGGAGTGACCATATGTGGGTCTGAGTGTGTACCTGCTTGTACAGGTTTACCGGTGTATAATGTATGGACATGCAGGCTGTAAGCATGGCATCGGGAAGCCTGAATGGAAAAGAGAATATGTCTGGATCCACACACACCACAGCAGAATCTAACGTGCCCTGGTATGTCCCCCCATTTCCCCCTTGTTCCCCCAACACCAGGGTAATCAGAGAAGCTGGTTGCTTCCCACCCTAGCAGTTGCCTCGTGAGCTATGATGATTAGATCCACCAGGTCTTTCAACCTGTTGGTCTTAACATGTAGTGGTGCCTTAGAGTCGGCCAGCTCACGTGAGAAATAGGGGTGAAGGGTACAGTTATCTGAGGACACGTCTGTGTGCACACTTCCAGCTGTGTGTGAATGCGTAGTGTTGGCTGCTCCCCACCAGATGGGGGAAACCTGCCTTCTCCCTTCATGTTCACTACCTTGGAGAGTTCATCCACTCACTTTCCATTGCCACCTGAGTGTGGCTGGCTCCTGCCCCCACATCCATGTCCTTCTGTGCTGGCTGGGCAGAGGCAAGGCTGGAAAGTGTCAGCGCCCATTTCCTGCGGAGGCACGCCTGCTCCCCTCCACCCTCACCCCCATTCTCATACAGGAATCACCCATTGGATGAAAACTGTGTGCACACAGGACTCCTGGCAGCCAGGAGGAACCCAGAGAGTCACCCCCAGGGGTGGGCTGATCAGCCCCCTCCCCTGATGATAAGACCTGTTTTTAGGGCAAAATTGACCAAGGAGGGAAAGAGAGGGCTCCTCTCGCCATAAATATTCCCCCTGGCATTGGGGAGGTCTGGAGTAAATACTTTTTAATTTTTTTTAAGCTTGCATAATCACAAAAAGCTACAATGATGGTGAATCATATGTCATTAACGATGGCTAACAATATCTCTATAAAGTGGCAAAATAATTGAACTGGATTTCCTCCTTTTGTTATAAGAAATGTAAATTCAGAGCCACAGGGTCATGTAAGGCAAAAGCATGACGTGCTGGAATACACTCGTGATTTGTATGTGTTTACATCCTAGCCCCATGCGCTACCACACAGTGAAAGAGTCGCAGGTGAAAATAAGCAGAAATGAGCTGCAATGATCAACACATGCCATGTGCTATACTTTACATTGCATGAGTGGGTGAGTGAAAAGCAAACGTCTTTGAGATAGTAGAATGCTCTCATATAGTGACCCCAGAAAGTACAATACCTGGACTCTGTTCCCATGTCCAAGGACTTAATCGATTGAAAGGTTTTCATCATATATTGGAAAATTAGCCCAGGGGCAGGATATCTTTCAAAGATAGGAATATACTTAATTAAGCCTTGTTGAAGTGCCTTTTTAAAATGTGTGTCATCCCTAAGAAATGTTAGCTGGTGCATATCTGACTATGCTTATGGAAGCACCACATATAGTCTATGTTTCCATGTTCTAGACAGAAATATTTCCTAAACATTAAGGGAAGGTGCTGGTTTCATAATACACCAGGAGAATTTTTCCATGGTCAATATGTTGTTTCTTTGCACTTAAAGACTGCATCAATAATCTGAAAAAGAAATCATCTGATTATGGCTAGATACTCTGCTTAGAGTCTAAGGTTTCTGTCATGCGCTGCTTTCAACTGTTATATTTTATGGCACAAATTCAGTGGGAATGTGATCTGCTAAAATATTTGGGCTGTGAAAACTCCAACACTGTGACAGATGTCAAGTCCAATTAAGTGACTCATGTCCAGGTTTCTGTCCAATAGGATTTCCCATTAAATATCAATTTAGGGGGAAAAAAATTCCATCCCCCTTCTTAAGCCTGTGTCTCTTCCACCATCTCCAGGCTGAATCAATTGGTACCAGGAGAGCCAAGAAGCCTCTCGCACCTCTGCCTCGCGGTTCCCTCACCCTCTCCCTTCTTTCTCCTTCCTCTTCCCTGTCACACTGTTCCTCCCGGAGGCGTTCACTTTTCACCAACCTTTCTCCTAGCATCTCCAAGCTACTGGCTGTGTGTATTTTGCTACAAGGTAAAGAAAGGCCGGGGTGGGGGGTTGGGGTTGGGAGATGTAACCAAGCCTTCAAAGACTTCAAAACTGGAAATAGGTGTCTGTTTATACAACATACAGTAAATGAGGGGAGAGGAAGAGGCAAGCTTAGCCCCCAGTTACAGTATTGTGTTCCTGGGAACTGGGGAGACATCAGCTGAACAAAGCCTTATCTAAAAAAAAAAAAATCACTTCTGAGCAAGATCGCATCTCTGCCTGCACTTCCCAGTTTCTGCTCTGCCTTATTAAAGGAAGGAAAAAGGAATCCTACAGGAGCTAAATCTTATCTTAACCATCTTTCTCATTGATTGTTCACTGTTAGAAAGTGGAGGAATCAATCCTTTGATGTGATAGTATTTATCTCTGCATCTCTTTTGTTATTTATAGAGACCTGGAGACGAGACTTTTCGACACATCGTTTAGGGGGGGGAAAATCAACAACGAATTTCCCGAAATGTTTAACAATTAAAAGGAAAAGGCGTTTTTGATCTATCAACTAAGTGAACGATCGTTCATATCGTCCACATCCTGAGAGATTATCGTCCCTCGCTGTGGACACCGGCGAGATGACAGCTGCTTTTTCATATTTGAATGTAATAAATATTTGTTGCTTTTAATATATTTCGGAATTTCTCCCCCGCGATTCCCTGGAATTTTAACTCTAGAAGATTGGAGAAAAGATTATCGAAAAGGCTTCTGCAAGGTAAGGCTCCTTTAAACAATTTTTCCCTCCAGCTTGGAACCAAGTTAGATTGTTCATATTACATTGACAGATGCATTTCGGTTAATTGTTAAAGAAATAAAATGCAAACACGACGTGCTATTTATAAATATTTAAAAAGGTATCTTGAGGAGTTTTTAACGTGCTTGGAGTGCAACCCAGGAACTTTTTCCCTGAACTATAACTACGTAGTTTCTTGTCGTGATGTTCCATTACCCGCGTATTTATTTATGCCCTTTTTCCAGCCGGCTGTTTAGGTGCAAGGAGTTCTGCTTATAAACATATCCATGGAGAGCCCGTAGGGATTCGCATGTAGTTCACCTGGAGCATTTGTTTTTCTTTTGCCTTAGAGGACCCGTTTTCCTCACAGGGAAATGAAAGCCAAATTCTCTCCTAAGCCAGTGAGCACGGTGCTAGGAGTGGATCACACATCCCCGCTTTTGTCTCTCTGGAAGCAAACCCTCCTGCACGCGCCAACGCGGATTTCTCCCGCGGCGACGTCGCTCGGGCTGCACGCTTAGGGGTCCCGGGCTCGAAGGCTGGTCCTCGCTCCGGGCGCCCGTGGTCGGTGCGCGCGGCCCCCGCTGGTGCCTTCCCCTCCTGCGGGTCTCTCTCTAGAAGCCCCAAGCTCCCCGGAGCCCGGTGATCATAGGCCGCCCCATTCCAAAAGGAGCGTAGTCGGGGTTCGTCCTCTAGGCGCCCGGGAGGAGCAGGGCGAGGCGACCTACCCAGGAGGCCCGTCGTTAGAAGACAGCTGGGAACAGGCCAGCTCGGCCTTGGCCACGCCGCCCAGGGAACTGCGGGTTCCCGACTCCGGCCCCACGAGCATCCAAACTTTGCGGGCGGAGGTGCAGCTCAGGCCCGAGCATCCCGCGCGGCGTCCGCCTCCTCCGGCCCCGAGGCCCTGCCCTGCCTCCCCCAGCCTCTCCTCCCCGAGCCTCTCCTCCCCCAGCGCCGCGGCCTCCGGCGTTTTCCCGCGAGGTGGTCGGCAAGCTGCCGGGCGCATTGTTTCATCCCTGGCCGCCGCGTCCCTGGGTCCCCGGCGTGTGAGGCTGTCCGCGTGACAGATGGTGCTTCGGACGCCTGCAAAGGCTCAGGAACCAGTGTTGTGTTGAAAGGAGCCTCCACGTTTGTTTAGTCATTTCTTTATGATTTCGGAGGAGTGCGAGGGGACCAGGAAACCTTCGCGTTCCCAGCCGCCTGCTCCCTGTCTTTGCTCAGGGCCAGGTCCTCTTCGGCGCCCCAGACCAGCGTGAGGCCCGCGGGCGCCGTGGCACTCCCGCTGCCACGTCCAAGGGCCTCCGGGAGGGATCCCCGCCCCCCGTAAAACCCAGATGTGTTCGTCCTTCGGAGTCAATTGTTTGTGGGGGAAGAAGTGAGCGAGGCAGAATGGCAGAGTCGGTACATGGCCGGAGGGGGCACAACACCCAGGCCTCGCAGGCCTGCGGTCATCTACCGGGCCAGGACCACAGACCGGGCCGAGCCTCCTGCAGGCCGAGGTGTCACGTCCAGGATGCGGCTTGGCCAAGCAAGACAAGTCCTCGCCGGCTCTGGTGCGCTCCCCCGCCGCAGGACCAGCCCCGCTGAGCGCGCCGGCCTGGTGTGAGGCGGGGACCCAGACTCGGCGAGGCCCGGCGCTGTAGGCCGTCGCCCGCTCCTGCTCAGATCGAAAGAACCTGATGCCTTTTATTGATTGCTTTTCTGACTCCCCATCAGCCTCCAAAATGATGCTGAGTCCGGACCAAGCCGCCGACTCGGACCACCCCAGCTCGGCGCACTCGGACCCGGAGTCGTTGGGCGGCGCGGACACCAAGGTGCTCGGCAACGTGTCGGACCTGGAGCCGGTGGAAGAGGCCGAGGGCGACGGCAAGGGCGGCAGCCGGGCGGCGCTTTACCCTCACCCGCAGCAGCTGAGCCGCGAGGAGAAGCGCCGCCGCCGGCGCGCCACGGCCAAGTACCGCTCAGCCCATGCCACCCGCGAGCGCATCCGCGTGGAAGCCTTCAACTTGGCCTTCGCCGAGCTCCGCAAGCTGCTGCCCACGCTGCCCCCGGACAAGAAGCTCTCCAAGATCGAGATCCTGCGCCTGGCCATCTGCTACATCTCCTATCTCAACCATGTCCTGGACGTGTAGGGCCGGGCGCGCTCCTGGAGGCCGCGGGTCCGGGTGTCGGGGACTGCGACCGGACCCGGAGGCTGCGGCGGGGCTGGCGGAGGAGGCAGCCGCCCAGTGGGAGACCTGGACGGGGCAAGAAGCTCTCAGGCTGTTGCGTTCTCTCGGATCAGCAGGGCGACCTTGAAAGGTTTCCGACTCTGGAACGTAGGGATGTCTGGCGAGCCCCGCAGCTTGCAAGGGGTACATTCCAGGCCGGTGGACCTCCTGGAGGCACCCGAGATAAGCCTCATCCAGGCCCCCCTCCATGGGTTAGGGTCCCCGTAAGGGTGGTTGCTTGAGCTCACTGGAGACTGGGTTCTCGGATTTTATCTCCCACAGCTCTTCATGTTTTGAAAAAATGGAGGCAGAGGCTTGGAGTATAGGTTCATAACTTTAGACGATATGGATTTTTTTTCCTCCTAATTGACGAATCACCAAACATTCAGAGTGGGGAGGGGAGCGGAGGGAACCTCTTCTAGTGTGGAGATTTTCGGCATATGAAAGTGGGACAGGGAACTTTCAGAACTGTTGTGAAAAGAAAGCAAGCTTAGATTAGAATCCAAACACCACAGACAAGCTCTGCATATTTGGTAAGGTTAAGAAGATACATTGAAAACAAACACTTTGTGGGAGATTTGAGCTTGGTGAGGTTTGAACCCCCAGGTATGACACTAATTAGACAGGAACATCCATATTCAAATGGAAAACGTAATATCTGATTGCTGTTTCAGGCGAAGTGCCCCTTTATATATCCAAAAACATCTATTTGTGACCTTAACCATGTGGACCCATAGGTGCAGTTAGAAAAAGACAACCTATTTTTATTTATGTTAGAAGGAGTAGAGTATTTTTTCCAAGACATTTATTTTTCAGAGTGGTGATAATGTTACTTTGGATACTCTGTGCCAATTTATTTATAGTCAAGTGTTTACACTTTTTCCTGTGGAATAATTATGTCTAACTTTTTACGTGTTTGTTGAGATTATACTGTGGTCTTTCTGTTTTGCTCTAATTATATTGCACTTGTATAACAAATTCCCTACTTCTCCCTGTTTCTAAACATATTTTATATATTAAGATGTTTGTTCTTGAAAGGTTCTTTTGTTGTGAGATCAGCAACACTAGCACTTCACTATTATAGTTTTTTATAAAAAGTAAGTGTTGTTATTCTTATCTGTAGTTATGTCTGAAAAGTACTTTACACACTGTTTATAAGGAGAGTAGCTTCTTTGTGTATGGGGGTGTGTGTGATGTTTGTGCGTGGGATGATTTTAGGAAATTAAGTTATTTTCCTAAAAAAAAAAAAAAGAATTCAAAACTACTTTCTTCTGTGACAACCAAAAAGAAAAGTCTATAACCTGAAAATGTTTCATGTTCTCAGCTGTGAAACTCTTAAAACAAGGAGTGTATTTTAGAAACAAGGGGAAACAAAACAAAACAAAACAAAAAACAAAAAAAAACCCCACATCTGCTATCCAAAGATTTTAGTCTTTTTCAGGGTTTTTTTGTGTCTCTGTTGCTTTATATAATGCAATATTTTGTAGTGAAAATAGATATACTCTGGTTTCTATCTGACGAGTTTTTCATATCTCATGAATGGTACGCTGTTTTACATATAAATAAAGGTATCAAATAAAGTCCTCTCCTTTATTTTAAGCATACTGTCTAAAAGTAATGCATATACTGGCTCAGCATGAAATACCTTAATGGACTCAATTCCTCAGAAAAGAAAGGGTAAACAAAACAAAACCTTAACATATTTATGTCTTGAGATATTTGATGCTCTTCCTAAACTCAGCCACTGATCAGTCTATGAATAGATATGCTCCTTATATGATGGTGACATAGATCATGTTCCTCTTAGTGAAGAAAACACTATTGTGTTTATAGAAAAATATTACTTGAATTATAGATTATTTTGCTCTAAGTGGAAACTTAGTAACTAACCCAACCTCTTCCAGTTAGCGTTGGGAGACTGAAGCCCAGGGAGTTTCAGTCTTTGTAATAAGACGTAACTATGGGAGAAGAAGGCCCCTGATAGGACTCAGTCTCAATACCTCTTATTAAGAATGAGGTGCGTATTACTACTGGAGCACTCAAACATCTCATCAGGACATAGATTCAGGACATGACACCTGCAAACTAGAAAAAAATTTAGCCAGGGGCCAACATTGAGCTATGAAGACTATCGTCTACAAACACCTATAGTTAGTATAAAAATGTGAAATATTCTGTCTCCAAGCCAAAGTCATGAATAACTTAAAAACTATACATATATAGGGTATATACACACAGTGTATACACACACACACACACACGCACACATAGAATATTATGAACTATGAGTCTACATCACACTAAATCTCTGATTGCAGAGTAAAAGATGCAATTATATAGATGCTTGGTTTTAAATCTATAAAATATGTGGGATTACAAGCATTTTCCCCTTTTTACCCAGGTGTCTTGTAGTCAGGTTGACAGATACCTAATAAGTGAGACTTCATTCTTTTCTTATGGACATGCTCAGGAGGAAAGCGCTTCACAGGACATGAAAAAAGAATGATGCTCTCTTTGGCCTTGTATCTGGACCGAGCCCTGGTCACTGCAGCCATGGCTGGTCACTGTAGCCATGGCTGGTTATTCCATCCTGCAGACACATGCTATCTTTGGGCTGAGTGCTTGCAGGTCGTTTCACTTCTAGGAGTGGGGAGAGATGGTACTCCCTGTCCTCATAGCACTTTTCTACTAGACAACAGAAAAATCAGCCCTGCTCCTAGGCCAAGAAAATGAAGTCCACTCCTAACCTCTGCAGACCTTCTGAGAGCCTCCGTTTCCCGGTTTATGAGCCCAGCTTCGAACTAATCAACACAGCCCTGCCATGGACATCTAGAAGGGACCTACTACGTCACCTCCCTACACTATGACCCTTGCCCTTAGAGTTGGATGTAGGGCAGACATGGACAAAGATCAACATCGCTTCCCAGCTACACACAGCCCATGTGACCACAGGAGAGGATCTTAGCAGCATCATTTCATAGCCAAGGCTACTGAGGACCCTCCCAAGAGAAAGGCAGCACTGTGGCACTTGGCTAGACTAGATGATGACTGGTTCATCCCTGGTGTGTAGCATGGACTCAGTGGCTGTTAAGCCACAGAGAAGGGAGTAATGATGCTTCTCTGAATAATGATAGTGGTCATTCAGTCTTACATTCAACAAATATTTATTGAGGACCTACTGTGTGCCAGGCATTGTTCTAGCTGCTAAAAATGAAGCAATAAATGAGACAAAGTCTATAGGAGAAGAGCAGCACACTGCCAACAAATAAACAATATTTCATTTCAGATAGCGCTAAATGCTGTGAAGAAAAATAAAACAGGGTTAAGGAAATAGAGACTGGCAGTTGGCAGTACCAGCGAGGATATCATTTTAGATAGAGCTGCTAGGGAAGGCCTCTCTGAGGAGGTAACTCTGAGGACAGGCTTGGCTCTGCCGAATGAGCAGCCTCCACAATTGCTGCCGCTTGTTAACCTGCCCTGTGCTCATGCCACCAACACAGTCCATGCCGATGGCTCCCCGCTCCCCACTGGCAGCAGACCCTGGACCCGGCTTCTTCTGCTGCTCCTCTTTCCTTCTGCTCTCTGCCCCCAGCTGCTCAACGGCTGGCCAGGGCATTGCTGCTCCCCAGAGAACATGGCCCTACCTGGCTCAGCTGACAATGCCACCTGTGTTGAATATTTCTATGCCCAGATGGCTCCCCTACTTCTGCCACTGTCCAGAGATATCCAGAGAAAAGGGGCTAATGTCCTGGGCAAAAAACCCGTTTCCTTGCAGGGAGAATACGGGTGGTGGGATGGGTCAGGAAAGAAAGAGCAGGCTGAGGACAGAGGCAGTGGGTCTGGGAAGAAACGTGGCTGGATGGAGGTGGAGGACTGGGGCAGCGAACCCCTATGAACCCTGTGCCCGGGTTTCTTTCAGTGGCCCTGCCCCCAGGAACACGCATCATCAGATGAGGTAAGTAGGCAGAGCGGACCTCTATAATGCTGTGATTTATCCAGTTCCCACCACTGCTGTCTGCCACTGGATCCCAGTCTTCCTCCCACTGAGGTTTGGGGTGGCAGGGGCTAAAGGGGAGGGGATAGCATGTACAGCCAATACCCTTTTCCAGGCTTAGAAGGGCTGTCTCATTTACTATTGGTAGTAGTAGAAATATTAATGGCTAACATGTATTGAGTGTGCACTATATGTTTACTAAGTTCTTTGCATGCATTGTCTCATTTAATTCTCACAACCCAATGATGTAGGTACTTGCATCATCTCCACTGAACAGATGAGGAATTTGAGGCTTAGATTAAATAACTTGCCCAGGGTCATGAAGCCATGTTTGTGGGTTTATCAAAGTGCCTGTCTTTACCCATCATACTCTACGGCTTTCCTTTGCTAGATGGGCACTGTGCCATGTACACACCCTACCCTTGACCCAGCAATCCATCTCTCCACCAACAAGCTTACGGGAAGCTTCAGCTCAGGTTGTGCCAAAAGAGTACAGGACACCTGCTGCCTAACCAAGGGGACAGACACGTAGAGGTGAACACAAAGTGTGTGCTCTGCTTGCCAGGTCAAACGTATGCTCTGGCTTGGGGCTGTTGGGAAGATACTGCAGGCTAGTGGTGGTCCTGGGCCAGCCCCTCCTGAAGGAGAGTGGGGCTAAGCTGACCCTGTCCACAGCATTACTATTCACTCCCACGTGGGTGGGGGTGGCTCCCCGGTCTCCCCTCCCCTACCACACTCCTTAGCACATTGAGGCCCGTTCTCATGCTGCCCCAAGAGCCTTATGACTTTACTCATATGTGGTATATAAAACTAAAAGCAACAAAGGAACAAGACAAACACATAAAGAAAGAGAAACTCACAGTCACAGACAACAGTTTAGTGGTTACCAGAGGATAAGGGGCGGGAATGGTAGAAGAAGGTAAAGGGGGTCAAATATATGGTGACGGAAGGAGAACTGACTCTGGGTGGCGAACACACAATGCGATATATAGATGATGTATTATAGAACTGTACACTTGAAACTTATATAATTTTACTAACCATTGTCACCCCAATAAATTTAATTTTTAAGAAAAGCACCACCTTTTAAAGTAGCATGTCATCACCTGCCTGAAAATTCTTCTTAGCACCCCTTTGCCTATAAAAAAATAAAGCTCAAGTTCTTTCTCTGGCCACAGAAATCTTCTTCCGCAGTCTTGTTCCTGACACTCACTAGCATCATTTCAGCCTTTCTCCCTGAGGATACAAGCCCCTTTCAAATTCAGATTTCCTCACTTCCCTGGAGATGCCTGTTCTTTTATAACCTGTGTTTTTGCACTTGCTGTCCCTCTGCTTAAAATGCTCTCCTTCAGCCTTGTTTAATTTTTTTTGCCCAGAAAATTCCAGCTGTTCCATTGTCACCCAACTCAAATGTAACCGCTTTGCAAAATTTCCCTCAGTTGCTTTGGGTGGTGTTACCTGTTCTGCTCTCTGAGTCCCACATACAAACATAACTATGCCAGAATTTATCTGTTCCTCCCATCCCTATATTTGAGACCCAAGCCTGGCTCCAACTTATCCTAAATCTGAGATGTTTAACGTGCTACTCTATTTCCTTCAGCCTCTGTTTTCAAATGTATAAGATGAGACAATACACACACACACCCTCAAATGCTTGCTATGAGGATTCCATGGAGTAATGTCGAGGGCTTACCAGGATAGGAAGAATGTAGCAAGTGCTCAGTAAATGTGAGCTGTTAGTATTACCTTTGCATTTATAGTATGCATAGGAGAAGCTAAAAATGGTAATGTTGTAACAATTCATCAACACACTAATGGTCTGGGATGCTCATCAATGGTACTCATCTGCATATGGCACTTTGTTAGCTCTACAGACAATCAGACAGAAATAACCTCTGTCCTAGAGACAGAGCACATTATAGGTAAATGAAGAGTAATCCTTGGAATAAACCATAAACACATACATAAAGTTATGGGCATGTCTGAAAACCCCACTCCACTCCAGTGAGAGGCCTGGCCTGTGCCTCTTCTTCCTACACCTTGGTTTTCCCCAGAGCACTGAATACTTTGACAGGCACTACTGCAGAGTGGTCCGGAGCCCTGACGGACAAGTGTGCCTGAGCTCAAACCCCAGCTCTCCTACTACCTAGATGTGGCCTTGAACAAATTACTTAATTCTGGCCTAGTTTTTTCACTTGTAAAATGGGGGGTGATAACAGTATCTACCTCGAAGCATTGTTAGGAAGATTAGCTGAATTAATTGACACTGAGAACACATCCGGCATATGCACAAGACCAGTTCTATCTGTTGGTGACTTTTACAAAAGTTAAACAGTTAAATTATTTTGAAGTAATGAAAGAGAAATTGTTGGAATTTCCTGTTCAATTTTGCTACAGGTTTCCAGATCAGAAGGGACGTTCCTCATCTCCTTGATGATCATTCCAGAAAGATATCAGGAAAAGGGGAGATTTCAAGAGCTTCTTGAATGACAAGAAAGGTGGTAAGATTGGTGGGTGTAGGAGTTGGGAGGTCCTCCCTAGAATCACCTGGGGCCAGGATTGGCAACGAGAAGGAAAAGGACTTTGGGGTTAGTCTTCC